ATAGCAAGTAATCAGAAACACCATGGCCCGAATTGGATATACTTTAGTCCTCAAAGTGACATCATTACTTCTCAATAATTTGGAGAGGTCCCTGACTGCAGATTTTCCCAGTGCATTGCATCTACTTATCCTGACTTCTGGTAAGAACAATGTTAATTGTGTATCCAAGCAAGATGAAGCTGTTTACAGTTTCTATCTCCTCTTCATCCTTCATGATGCTGCCCATTGGTCCAGTGGTAAGAATCTTTGTTCTCTTGACATTGAGATGCAATCCATACTGAAGGCTGCGTTCCTTGATCTTCTACAACAAGTCCTTCAAGCCCTCCTCATTTTCAGCAAGCAAGGTGTGTCATTTACATAAAGCAAGTTATCGATGAGTTTTCTCCCTCCAATCTTGATGCCACACTCCTCATCATAGAGTCCAGCTTCTCGGATAATTTGCTCAGCATACAGATTGAGTAGGTATGGAGAGAGAATACAACCCTGACACACATCTGTCTCAATTTTAAACCATGCAGTGTTTCCTTGCTTTGTTCACACAACAGCCTTCTGATCCAGGTATAAGTTCCACATGAGCACAATCAAGTGCTTTGGGATTCACATTTTTCTCAATGTAAGTCACAACTTGTAATGATCCACAGAGTCAAATGTTTGTGCATAGTCAATAAAGCACAAAAAGACATTCTCTGGTATTTCTTCTCTTAGCCAGGATCTATCTGACATCAGCAATGATACCCCTGGTGCCATGGCCTCTTCTAAATACTGCTTGAACTTCTGGAAGTTCCCTATCTATGAACTATTCTGCACATTTTTGAATGATGTTCAACAGTATTTTGCTTGCATGTGATGTTAATTATATTGTTCTATAGTTTCCACATTCAGTTGGGTCACCTTTATTGGGAATGGGAACAAATATGGACCTCTTCCAATCCATTGCCTAGATAACTGTCCTACAAATTTCCTGGCATAGACTGGTGAGCGCATCCAAGGCTGCGTCTGTTAATTGAAATGTCATTTGGTATCCCATCAATCCTGGAGGCTTATTTTTTTTGTTTTTGCCAATGTAGCTTCTATTTCCTCCTTCATTACCATTGGCTCCTGTTCATATGGTACTTCCTGAAATTTTTCAGTGTCAATAAATTCTTTCTGGCACAGTGACTCTATGTATTCCCTCATCTTCTTTTGATATTTTCTGGGTCATTCAATATATTGCCCATACCATCTTTCAGTATTGCAACACGAGACTTAAATTTTATTTCTATGTGATACTAAACATATTATTTGATAATTTCTGAATTTCATTGGATAATTTTTCTTTTCAGTGGTCACAAATGTGGAACTCTTTCAATTATTGGCGATATTGCTGTCTTCCAAATTCCTTAGTATGCATGAGTGAGCACTTCTAGATTTACAGGTTGCTGTTTTGTTGTTGTTGTTCTTATTATGTGCAATCGACTCACCTGTGATTCATAGAGACCCTGTCTACATTAGCTCTGAACCCTGCCCTATCCTGAGCTAATCTCATTATCTCTGACATACCTAATCCAATTTCTCCAGTCACTAACTCAGTCCATCTCATCTTGGGTCTTTCTCTCCTGAGCTGTCCCTCCACCTTTCCAAGCAAGATGCCCTTCTCCAAGGACTGGTCTTCCCTGGCAACATGTCCAAAATATGTGAGACAGAGCTTCAAAATCTTTGCCTCCAAGTAGCAGACCTTATTGTTCTCCTGGCAGTCCACGGAATGCTCTACACTCTTTACCAGCACTACGACTCAAAGGCATCAATCTTTCTTCTATCATCTTTATTGTCCAGCTCTATGTTGCATGGCAAGTAATTGTGAAGACCATGGACTTTATCAGGCACATCTTAATCTCTAGATTGACATCGTTGCTCTTCAGTACTCTAGAGAGGTCCCTGCCAGCAGACTTTCCCAATGCATTTCATCTTTTGATCTTGACTTCTGGTGCTTTACACACATCTCTTACACCATCTCAGTTGACATTTCTAAAGTCTCTGAAGCCTTGTTTTTCCACTAATACTTTCAAAGCCAGTTGGATTTCAGTACTATCAGTTCTTGATTATGTCGAAGATAAACCAATTCTGTTTGGTATAGCTGTTCTATGTAGTTCTTCTATCATCTTTTGATGTTTCCTGTGTCACATCTTTCAATATCAAAACCTGAGTCCTAAAATAATCCCCCAAAAACCTAAGTCCTAAATTTCTTCTTTAATTCTTTCAGCACAGAAATATCAAGTGTATTTCTTCTCTTTTGATTTTCTACCTTCACATTCTTTTTCAAACTTTATGTCTTTTCACATTTCATTACTTTGTCTTTGAAATCTGTTTGGGGCATCATATCTTCCTTTCACTTTAGCTATTTTACATTGAAGAGGAAGTTCCAGTGTCTCTTCTGAAATTCATTCCTATCTTCTTTCTTTTCTGTCTTTTTAGTTATATTTTCTTTCCTATGAGTATGTATTATGAGTATGATGCTTATCTGATTTTCAGTCATTGATGTTTGATGTATCAAATCTATTCTGGAGTTAGCCTCTAAATTCAAGTGAGATATACTCAAGATCATTCTTGCCCTCTTGTGGACTTGGTTTAATTTTCTTTAGCTTCACAGTGAATTTGTATATGAACAAAGGATGGCCTATTCCACATTGGCTTTTTGGCCTTGTTTTGACTTTTAAGATTGAACTTTTAAACTTCTTTTACCATGATTTATTTGATTTCTATGTATTATTCTTATGATGCTGATGTTTTAGTGATTGTCAGTCATTTAATAGTCATTGTGTCTATTTGTGTCTGTTGTAAAGAGGTTGGGGAACGTATTTGCAATGACTAAGTCATTAGTTTTGCAAAACTCCATCTTACTGGAGAGGAGGAGAAATTATGACATCACAGAGTTTGGTAGGGGGAGGTAGGAAGGAAAAAACAAAAAAAAATCAACAGTGTACATGAATTAAACACAATAAAAAAAATTTTTATCATGCCATCTCCAGCATCATTTCTATCACATATTCCATATTATCCAATTACTAATCTTTTCTTTTTTTGTTTCCAACAAAGTATTTTGTGTTTATTAAAGACTTTCTTTGTACTATGTACTATGTACTATGTACTATGTACTATGTACTATTCTTAAGGCTTTGCAAAACTGTGGCCTAGTGACATGCACTGTCTTCCCAAAGGCATACGGTTTGAATCCAGCTCCTGTGCGGGAGAAAGATGAGCAGTCTCCTCTTGTACAGTTTATTGCCTCTGAAAGCCCACTATGAGTTGGTAGCCACTCAACAGTGTACAACAACAGACCCATATTACAGATTTGGAAATTGAGTCTGAGAAGCCTAGCAACGTGCCAGTTAATAACTTGTTCAGCCAACTTTAACTCTTTCTTTGCTGTTGAGTCAGAACCAACTCATAGCTGATCCATCACTGGATTTTCAAGGCTGTAAATCACACAGGAATATATTGTTCCTCTTTCTTCCAAGGAGCCACCAGTGGATTCGAGCCACCGTGAGGCTCACCCTTCAGGTTAGCAGCGAAACTCCTGTGGACTTCCCCACCAGAGAGCTCCCTAATAAGCAGTAAAAGGGATACTGATTCTTATTGTCCTAGATACCTGGTTTTAGGGCCCATATTTATAACCACTAAAAATCAATGCCTCTCAGCTTCTTCGTTCATTCTCTCATTGAACAAGTATTTATTTGTTGGCACAACACAGTCTTACATTCTCTCCCATATCCAAAATAAGAAGAGAAATTCTGTGAGGGGTGTGTTTCCATAAACAACCCTTCTGAGTCACAGCCTCTACAATGCTCTAAAAATACTATAATATCCCCTATAGATGCATCAAGTCCAAATATGGACTGTTTTGTCAGGACAGCCAATCATTCCTTCCCTGATTGTGGTGAGTGGAGTAACTCCATTCCTTCACCTGCTCAATCGCCCAGTAGTTCCCTGCCACTGACTTTCCTCTAGGCATGGCTGCATTCTAGTGCGGCTAGTATACTGCACATGTCTAGTGGACACCAGTCGAATCATTGTCTTGTTCATCCTAGAACAGTGACTCTGACGTTCTGGCAGAGATTGCTATGGTGCACAAACATCCACTTCATCTGTCACTCAAGCAAACTTGATCCTTAGTCAGAAGATAAGAGAGGCAGACATTACAGAGTTCTCCAAACCCCTTAACATCCTATGTTGATACCTCTATTTTACACAGAAATCCACTTGTCAACTTGGCAGTGGCACTAAAAGTCACATGGCTAGATTGCATGACCCCTCTGGGGTCTAAAATCTCAAAGCAATTAGTCTTTTCCAGACTACCTGGTCAATGAGTTAATCCGTCAACTAGGCTTCAAGTTTTCTGCTTTGTATCTAGGTTGATGAATATAAAGGACTAATAAACTGAAGAAATTATATGAACATTGATGGGTTCAGGGAAAGAGAGAGCCATGCTCTGGTTCACATCCTTACTTACCTCAGAAGCCCCAGATCAGACTCTCCTTGTTCTCCCTTCTTCTACATCAGACAGCTCATATAATCTCCATGCCTTCGTACTGAACTGAATTTCTTCTAGGTACCAACACTGGGCTCAGTACTGAATTGAGAGCAGTTAAGATGAGTATTTCCTCAGCCTTCTGGGATCACAACATCTGGAAGCTGAGATTAAACAAGGCAGAGAAAACACAAGACAAAATGATACGCGTAGGGCCCTGCAGCCTGGGATGCTTCTAGCTCTGCCCCTTTATTGGCTTTATTTGACTTTGTACATTGTTCTGGATCTTTCAGTCTTTACTCCTTCATCTGTAAAACTGGAATAACAATACACATCTTAGGGCAATCTTTAAAATGAGAAATAAATATAAACCATCTAGCCCACAGCAGAATTTGCAAAAAGGTAAGTTGCCTGGTTTCGCCCATGCTGTGCATGTTTCTTTAAAGCCCCCTTGGTCTACAGAGAACTGAAGGCAGCCTCTGTCTTGCATTTGCAGCTGCCCAATTTTATCAACACCACCCTGCCACCGCACGAGCAGGTGACAGCCCAGGAAATTGACAGCTACTTCCGCCAGGAGCTGATCTACAAGAGAAATGAGAGGATGGGGAAGAGAGTCATGACTCTTCTGCAGGAGAATGAAGACAAAGTCTGCTTCTTTGCCTTCGGAGCAGGTTTGGGCCAGAGTGGGGAAGGGTTTATTTGCAGAATTCTTCAGGGCTTGGAGATTTGCTTAGACCTACCCTGCTTCCGCTTCATAAAGGAATAAATTGATACCTGGCACGGGGCAGGGAAGCTACCTAGCATTCAGCAGTAGAGCTGGGGCCCAAAGAGAATTCTCTAATTGCTACTCAGACATTCTTTTTTAATGGTTTCTGTAGAGAGTTTTAGGAAGTGGCTCCTGCTAAAGCCAGGACAATCTCTGGTTCTTTCCTGCCCCAGGAGGTCATGTTGAGAGCCTAGAAACAGACCCAACTGCAGCTATCCAGCCCAGCTTCACCCTACCCAGAGAATCCATTGCAAAGCTAGGAGCACCAGATGTGTGGACAAGGTGTGTTCTGGGATCCCACAGACTTGGCTTCAAATCCCAACCCAGCCACTTCCAGGCTACACAGCCTTGGCACAGAATTCTGTCTGAAGTTCAATGCCCTCTTCTATAAATGGGCAGTGAAAGGCATAGCTACTTGATGAATTAAAAATATCTACCTTAAAGAATGGTGTCAAAGATTGTGAGGTTGACACAGAACAAGACAGGGTTCAGATCTCTTGTTCATAGGGTCACTGTGAGTTGTACTCAACTTGACTTGATGGCATCTAACAACAACCACCACCTTATAGAACTGGTGTGAAGATTAGTGATACCATACAAATAACTTGCTAGCTAGGAGGAGGTCACTATAGCAACCACTGTTAGCATTCTTGTCATTATTTTGATAGTCAGTAGAAGGATCATCGTGGCATTGTAGAAGCATGACCTTGCTTTCTTCTGTGGGGATCCAGCCTCTTAATACAGAAGAAAGTCCAGACCTAGGTGCAGAGTTTTGCTGGCACCTTTATTTTGATTCTTCCTCTCTCTTTGTTCTCCCATTCTCTCCCCTACTCTTTCTTCCTTTCTCTATGGCTGTGTCTCTGCCTAAGACTCCAATCTCCATGTTGGAATCAAGATACTGTATTTGCTGCTTTGCCAGTCTGACTGTAGTAGCTCTTGCTCATGTTACCTGCAATTTAGGCTGAAAGACTTCACCTCCTGCTTTGTGAAAATAAAATAAGATGGTGTGGGGGCAGCCAAAGAGAGGCCTGGTGATGCATGCACTGCTGCCATCCTTTGGTATTTCTCGCCCCAGGCCCATTATTCCCACCGTGTCCATTAAGGCCAAGCTAAGTTAAATCATGTTGAATAGTAGTCATCAATCCCAGAAGGGCCCTTGCACGCATCCTTATGTTATAAAAAGGCATGGCTCCTGTTTTAGGTCTCACTGAATAAATTCCACACATTTCCAGAGAGGAGCCAGCCGTCTACCTCTCCCTCTCTTCCTTGCTCTGTAGCTCATGGCACAATAAAAACATGTGGGAGAAACCAAGAGACAAACATATGGCTCAGCACAGCATTTAAAGTCATGCCTGCAACTGGATGGAGCTGGACCATGGCTCATTATACCCTCTTGGCAAGTCCTTCCCTCTCAGTCTGTTTACTCATTTGAACAAGAGGAATCAGGACTTGATTGAATCATCTGTGATCCAGGAACAACTCAAACATAGATTGCAGGGTAGGAAGGGATTCCTATGAAGGCCCATGATGGTGTCAAAACTCAATTGGAATGAGAAAGACCTTACTTTAGAGTTGTCTGCTCCTCCTGGGAACATACTATAAGTCAGGAAGGCTTTGGTGGTCAAAGCGGAGGTGGGGTATGCCACCTACTTGCCCTCTCCCTCACTTTGCATTGGCCTTCCCAGACTTTCTTTCTATGGGCATCCTGTGAGGGAGTAGCCCCATGCTGACTTCCAAAGAGGAGCCACTCTAAGTTAATCTACGAAAGATCCACCCCCAAGGCTCAGCCATTAAGGGAGATTAGAGACAGAACTGGTATTCCGTATGGCCCACTGACGTTGGCACAGCCTCACCCAGTGTCTGGATGTAGTTAGCCCAAGCTCATGCCTATGAGAGGAAATGGGAGAGCCTGGAGATATGTTTGGACACTGACTTTTCCTGAAACCCCCAAGTATGTGGGTACATAGTTGTCACTTAAGCACCAGACCAGCACCCAAGTGTCACTTCAGGTTCTTTTGACACACACACACACACACACACACAAATCCCAACCCACACCAAAACTCATATTCATCCACCCTCTCCATTCCCACTATCACTGTCCCAGTCAAAGCGTCCATCAGCTCTAGCTTCCCCACCTTCTCCAGGCCTCCTCCCTGCTCCCTCAGGGTGGCCCATGAACGGTGCTTAATCTGTCACCCAAGACTTGGTCGAACTCTGGGAGGACAGATGCCACAGCTTCATTTTCCGTTTGTTAGCTTGCAATAGCTGTGGCGACTGGTGAGTGAATGAATGAACAAACGAATGAATATTTAACAGAGTCTCTCTGTCCAGGTGTCCTCCAGGCCTGGTAAACAGCTTAGAATAGTTGCTAGTTGGAATCAAGTTGGTTCTGACTCAAAAACAAAACTGCTTCATAGGATTTTCCTGGCTGTAAACAGACCGTCACTCTTCCTGAGTTGGTACCTACTAACACTTTATAATAATAATGACAATCTTTCTTAAAAAAGCTTTATAGTAAACCTTGTTCTTTTATTTTATTTGAGTGAAGTTTTACAAATCCTATTGGGTTTTCATTCAGTTGCTCACAGATATTTTGTTTTATAATGTTAATTACAATTGGTTAATGTAATTAATTAATAATTACAGTGTCTCATCAATCCCAAGGGAGCTCTGAGCTCGTGGTAAAATGTGCTGCATTTCCAAAGGTATGTGGTTCAAACCCACCAGCTGTTCCCCTGGGAGAAGGTTGAGCAATCTCCTTTCCTATGACTTATGGCTTCTGAAAACCCACTGGATTACCTTCATTTGAATTTGTTAAAGCTCTAACATTAACAAAAAGGAATAGTAAATGCAGATATATTTTCTCCAAATTACAAAAGTAAATGCAACTGTTATCTTTTAATGTACCTTAGAGACAAAGATATTTCTGTAGTAAACTGGACATGAGTTTCAAATGAGGTCAACTAATCTGAAACCCAGCCCCCTATGAAATTCTCCCACTGGGTAAGCAAATGGTGTTGTTTGTTCTGTGTTTGCGAAAGATTATATACTTTCTGGGCCTCTCTGAATTGAAATATCTTGGTTTTGTACAATTCAACCAGATCACAGATTAAACAACATCAATAAAGAGAATATATTTTTTAAGAAAAAAACCCAACCAAACCCGAACTTGACAGCACACAACTACAGTCAATCCCTAGGGAGCTCTGGTGGCTTAGTGGGAAGGAGTTGCACTTGTCAACCCAGAGATGTATGATTCCAATCTACCAGGTGTCCCTTGGGAGGAAGATGGGCAGTCTCCTCCCATCCAGTCAGCTGCCTGTGCAGACCTGCTCGAGGGTCAGTGTGAGTCAGTTCCAGCTCGGTGGTGTATAATAACAACAATCGATCTCATATTGAATGTTATCCATCCCTTCTCAACTATTATCTGTTACTCCTTTCTCATCCTATAACCCTCCAAGAGTGATTCTATGTGTAAAAAGCTTCCCTTACCTTTCTGTGTTAGTGGTTTTATGCCATAATTGTCGTGATATGGCTGAGTCACATTACATAATTTGTTCTAGATTCACTCATGTCTTTCACATATTCTTGATCAGGTGGTTTCGTTTGTACGGAGTTTTGATGCTAAGTGAAAATAATAAGTCTTTTTATTAAAATAGTTTCTTTTATATTTATACTGGTTTGCATACAAAGTTCATGTTGTTGTTGTTATGTGCCATCGAGTCGCTTGCGACTCATAGCAACCCTATGTACAACAGCCCTAAACTCTGCTCTGTCCTGTGCCAATCGCACTGTCTCTGACACTCCCATCCCAATTATCCCAGTCACTGAATCAATCCACCTCATAGAGGGCCTTCCCCTCCTGCGCCGTCCCTCCACCCTCCCAAGAATGTTGTCCTTCTCCAAGGACCGGTCTCTCCTCACAACATGTCCAAAGTATGTCAGACAGAGCCTCAGAATCCTTGCCTCCAAGGAGCCACCCAGTTTAACCCTTTCCAGGACAAATTTGTTTGTTTTCCTAGCAGTCCATGGTATTCTCAATACTCTTCTCCAGCACCACAGCTCAAAGGCATCAATTCTCCTTCTATCCTCCTTGGTCATTGTCCAACTCTCTGATGCATAACAAGTGATTGTGAAGACCATGGCCTGTATCAAACGCACCTTAGTTTCCAGAGAGACACCATTGCTCTTCAGTACTCGGAGAGGTCCCTAACAGCAGATTTTCCCATGGCAATGCGCCTTTTAATTTCCTGGCTGCTGGTGCCAAGAAAGTTGACTGTGGAGCCAAGCAAATTAAAGCTGTGAACAATCTCAATCTCTTCACCATCCATCCTGATGCTGCCAATTGGTCCAGTGGTGAGAATCTTTGTCTTCTTGACATTGAGCCTCAGACTATATTGGAAGCTGCAGTCATTGACCTTCTGCAGCAGGTGATTCAGGTCCTCCTCAGTTTTAGCAAGCAGGGTTGTGTCATCCGCATAACGCAGATTGTTGATAAATCATCCACCAATCTTGAACAATAATAATTTTAACGGAAGCAGATCACTAAAGTTTTTCTTCCAAGGTACCATGAGGTGGATTTGAACCCAATTCAGACTTGAGATTAGCAGTCAAATGCAGACCAGAAGTAAATTCAGAGCAAACATAGCTGTTTCCGCTCTCATGAATCCATTCCCCAAAAACAACAGGTCTAGAGCACCATGTCCAGATGTTGCTGGCATCTGCCACGCTTCCTGCTTCTGCTTCGCCACACCAGGACCAGATGGCCAGCTCTGGGCTGCTAGTCCACTCTTCAGCCCAGAGTTTTCAAAGCTGGCTTAAGCCTGCCCACTACATCATATCTATCCATAAACAAATGGAGGTTTCCAGAGGGCAGGGCATATGCAAAGCTTCCAGGACCGT